CCTGCTCGATCGGATGGATACATCTGACTTACCGCAAGATCATCCGTGTTACATTGCCGAAAGAAAGAAAATTCCAGGCCTGTTTTCCGATGAAACAAAATCAGAAGTAATGACAGAGTTTTGTGCTCTCAGAGCCAAGTCTTATGCATATAAGATCAATGGCAAGGAGAATATCAGGGCGAAAGGAATTCGTGGACATGTGGTAAAAAACCATATGAACTTTAAAGACCATTATATGTTTGGTGAAGCCGGCGTGGAGGTGTATAAAGAAAATGTATCGATACGCTCGTTCAAACATCAATTGAAGACCATTAAATCAAGCAAATTAACTTATAATAGTTTCGATGACAAGAGGGTTATACTTGAGGATAAAATACATACCTTGGCTCACGGCCACTACTCTATAGACTGAGTTAAAAAATAATTGTATATTTTAATTTATTTTACTTATATTTATAATTTTATAGGGAAGACGAACTTGAATCTGAGGAGACTGTTGAATGGTCTGATCATGAGTTTCCAGTAGACGTTGCCGGGCGTGAGTGGGAGGAATCGGATAAAGATTTAATGAGATTACTTCGAAGGGAATGCATGTCTAAATAATAAAATACTGCATAATATATATTTCTAATTTGTAAATACTATGTATATATATATATATATATATATATATATATATTTGTATAGTCTGGTTGTATATTGAAAATATTATCATGTTATTTAATTATAGTTGAGATAGATTAATGCATATATTTTTGTTATATGGAGAATACCATATATATTTTTGTTATATTGTAAAATACCATGTGTATATATATATATATATATATTGAAAATGTTAGGTTACCTATGTAAAATAAAAATAAAATGTTAAAATATTATTATGTTAATTATTATATTTTTAAGAATTATTGATAAACCACTTACTTATAGCAAATACTTTATAAAATGTACATTGTTTAGGATTAAAATCCATATGAAAAATACAAGGTAAAGTTTCGTCATCACATATTTGATCCAAACGAGGGCAGCCTATGTCTTCAATGTTGATGAGTGCGACGTGTGGTATATACTCCATAAGAACTTGTTTTTTCTGTTCTTCATACTCGATATCGCCGTATTCTATAGCTAGTTGATGGTAATTACGTTCCAACCACTTGTTGGTTTTACGACTCTTATTGTCCTGCATCGAGTTTGAATGTTTTAAAATCCAATGTTGAGTCGCCCATGTTGCCGTGTCTACTATAGACATTTCTTTAATCATGTATTTATTGTTGACACCAAGTACGCATTGCATGTCCAAGATGGCTGAAGACATTATTGCTTGTCTTTATAATACGTTTCGATAGTATTTAGACGGCTGAGTATAGCAGGTATTATGTTTTACAACACTTCTGTACTTTCTTTGATTAATTGTAATGATACTTCACCTCTTTTCATATGCTTAGTTATTTGTATACATGTCAATTGTATCGCTTCTACTTATTCTTCTTGAATTTGAACGGATTTATGGTTTTCTTCAAGTAAATGTTCGATTTTATCTAATTTAGACGAAAACGATTTGTTCGACTGTTCGAGATTTGAAATAATTTTTTTTGTTTCACCAGACTGAGAACTACCAAACACGTTCATGTCTATAGCTCGACTGACACTATTTTCTAATGTCTCTTGTATTTATCCAGCTATTGTGTGTATTATCGAACCCTAGCCATTTCACAAAAATTTGCTTCCCCTTCTTACGTATAATTTTCTCGACCAAATAGTCATTCGGATAGTTTGTTTTCAATATTTCTTCTGAATAAAAGCAACCGGCAATCGGTTTTCCAGTATAATCTTGCAGCTGATAAGTAGTAGGTAACGTTTCGTTGATTTTAATAATTTTGAATATTTCTGTAGACCAGCTCGGTAAATAACCTTTTGCAAATACACCTTTATATGTGCTTATACGAACGTTATCACCAACGTTAAATTTGATTGATCCATTAATTATTTTTCGTTGCTTTATTTCCACTGACGTAGGATTAGCATCAGCTTGCACTGTTTTCATTCCTATAGTCCTATGTTTTGAATTATTATATTCCTTAATCAATGAAGGTAAAATAGATATCCATTCGTGAGAGCCACGTGCTGTAAACTCTCTAAACATTTTTTCTTTCAATGTGCGATTGAAACGTTCCACAATACACGCTTTCATAGTAATATAAGTCGAATATTTACGTATGTTGTGCTTCATCATCAACGCGTCAAATGTAGAATTGTAAAATTCTTTACCTTTATCTAGCTGTAATAGTTTTGGTGTGCGTTTATGCAGTATTTTTGACATTGCTCTGGAAACTTCTTTAGCAGTTTTGGACTTTAATGGTATAGCCCAAGCAAACTTTGTAAAACAGTCTATCACACATAAAATATACTTGTACCCTTTATTTTTTTT